GAAAAGCAAAAGCCCCAAGTAAATTACAAGTTAATGAGCAGTTTCTAACAATACTTACTTGAACCAAATATTTCCAAGTGATGAAAATACATGAATATTTTTAATGTACCCAAGTGTGTGATGCATCCCAAAGAAATATTTTGTGCAATATGCCTGTCATGGAAATACTTTTTTGTTTTTATGCAATGACCTGCTTTAACCTTCTGAAAAATCTTTAATTGCATAAGCCGATCTGTGTCTTTATCAATGCTTATTAAAATTAAGCACAACCACATCACCAACAGATTTTTCACAGAATTATCCCACTGATCAGCTTCAAGGTTACAAATAATACATTCTGAAAGGCAAATGTACCGTGTCATCTGAAAAGCCTTGCTATGTAAACAGTTGGAAATGATTTAATTTCAATTTTTCTGCTATTTCCTTTAAAAAAAAGCATGTATCTTTTCAGTAGCATTGGCAATGCTTATGAAAATGCATCTTGGGGGATGTCAAATATATGAACAGGTTCATATGAAATGCTTTAAAACAACAGTAAGTGAGGATAGATTTATTCAGAAAGCTATTGAAAATAAAAGTGTAAGAAAAAATATGCATACAGCCATATGTATTAAAGACACATATTAAAGTTAATTTAATGTTTTGTAAATCTAAAGATACCATATAGGATGACTACAGTTAAGCATCCACAACTGCAAATGAGCCTGTGAAATTGAATTATGAACAAACTGTGATTTTGAAAACTAGCCTGACTCCATTTTCAAAGCCATCCTCAGAGTTCCATTTTTCTCAGAAATGTCAGTAATAAATACTGCAATTCAAAGCCCAGCAGCCAAAATTATAGAAAGACATCTGACTACAGATTTTATTCTTCTGTAAAAATGACTTAAAGAATAAAACATCAGCAGCTCAGCATCATATAGAACATCTTTAAATTTCTCAATGTGAATTATAAGTCAATATAAGATGAAACTGATGAGTTACTATAAAACACTAGGGAACTTGGGCAGAAGGCATTTTATTCTTAATGCTACAACCTTGCAGGCTGAAGGAAAAAGGAAAAGCTACATCAGGAATTTCATCTTTTTATATTCTTTAGTAACAAACATGAGTCTTCTCTGTTTTCTCTGTTCCAGTGTTTTTCAACTTGAACTTTTAAAATATATGGACTTAAAACCCCCAAAATTCTTCAGTCAATACGGTAAGGAATTCTGAGAGTTGAAGTCCATGCATCTTAAAGTTGCCAAGTTGGAGAGGAGGAGTCAATGTCGCGACGATATGGTTGTGTGGTCTCAATGCTCTGAGACCACAGACAACACTTTTGCCAAATGGACCTAAACCGTCCCGAAGAGACGGTGAACAGGAAGAATACGTCTTGCTGATCTCGGGGATATCGCAAAATTCCTGAAAGAAGCAAGAGAAGTTCTTCAAGCCGACAGCAAAAAATCCAGTCAAGGCTGACGAAGTCGTGGCGGCTCCAAAACGAAAGGAGATGGAAAGAGAAAGTGTTTCCAGCTGGTGAGGAATTTTTATTGTTTTTAAAAAGTGTGTGCCTATAAAAACTTAAAAATCAATTTAAATTGAAGAATAGAACCAAGTGGCGGAATTAAATTTGAAATGGTTTTGGACAGTGGTTATCTTACTTTTTAAATGCTATTTTCATGGATCAAATCTATGCAAACCTTTTGGAATGGATGGATTAAGTTTTTTTCTTCTACCTTCTCTTTGTGACTCTGTAATCTATAGACTATAGTTTTCCTCTTTTATTGCTGTGGGTATTTTTCTAATTCATTTAAAGGTTGGAGCTCTTTTTCTAACTTGAAATACAAAAAAGATACAAAAAGAAACTCTTTAACAGTGTTTCCGCTCGGAGGCTGGGAGGTTTTGTGTATTCAAAACGGAACATGTTTTTTTCACAGATTGTTTTTACTTGGTACCACAAGGTTTTACTGTTTGGCTACAGAGTGATAAGAAGGGAAACACACAGATGTCCCTTTGAAGTATATTTTCAATCAGAGAAAAGTAAAAACAATGTTTTTTCTTGATGTGAATCTATGCTTTAATTTTATTAACTGTCCAAGCTAAAGCAGCTGTGTTTGTTATAATGGCACAACATCAAGAGAAAATAGAGGTCTTAACTTTGCAAAATATATTTTCAGAACTACAGAAATTATCAAATATAGTAGAGAAAAAACTGGAATATCTAGAGCACATAACAAGAAAATATGATGAAAAAATTGAGGATGTTCATCAAATGCAAAATGGGGTGATTGAAACTCAAAAAAACCGAAGTGGAAAATGAATATAAAGAGATTAAATCTGCTGATATCTATGGCAATTGGTTTGTTCCTGAAAATGGAAAGAATGGAATACTGAAAGAGGAATTAAATAGAGAGGAAATCTATGCCAAAGGACAAGATATAGAAGAAGATAAAATTAAAGAATCTATGGACTTAAAGAAAGAAATTCTATTAGCAAAAGCATTGATAACACTGCTGACAATCAAAGACAAGCTGAATAAGGAAACAGAAAGAGGGCATCAAGATTATATAAGAGATTTTATAAGCAAGGAGCTGTTAAGAGAAGTCCATATAAAACTGACCAAGAAGATGATTAGAGGATTGGTACCACAAATGGCAGAAGATATGAAATTGTTTTGTTATTGGAAAGATACAGGTTGATAGATGGAAGAATATAACTTAAAACTAGTTAAACTTAGTGAAATTTAGTGATAAGAGATATAGTTAAATAATTAATTTATAATGATAATAATGTATACAATGTGTAGTGTTATGATAAGTAATAATTGGATATGAATATTGAACGGTACCCATGAAAGGAAGATTAGAAATCCCTTTGGACTATATACAAAGGTTAATAAAAAAGAACTAAGTTAGATACAGCTAAATTTTGATCATTAGGGGGAAAATGTTATGATACAGGATATAGTCAAATAAAGGAGGGATAATGATGACAACATATGAATGTATGTATGTATGTATGTATGTATGTATGTATGTATGTGTACAACATAAGGAAACTGGATGAAAATTGCAAATAGTGATTTAAAAAGGAGGATTAGAAAACTTTTTTATTAAATATTATGAATGTTTAGCTAGAAAAGGCATAGGGTTCAGTGTTATTGGAGGATTTTAGAAATATTAAATGAAATGCCAGTTTGGTTATGTATTAAATCTTGGTATATTTTATGATGGACGTTTAAACAATTATAGTCAAATAAAAATGGAGGTATGATAAGGGTAACATGTATAAATATCTGAGTTAAAATACTTGAGTTAATATGAATTAAGCTTGATGACTGTGGAAGAGATGCACGAAAGCCTTTTGTAACCAACTTTCTACAGTAAGTAAAGAAGGAAGATTTTATGTGTTGTTTGTTTTGAAAATAAAAAAGAAAATATTAAAAAGTTGCGAAGTTTGAGAAACATGCTCTATTCAACTATCAATCTATCCTTTGACTATAGCTGATTTACATATAGTTATATGAATCTTTTGTTTTCAGTTTGTCGTAAGAAATGAACTCTGCCTGCTTTACTTAATGTTAAATGTGTGACTCAACACTAAGTCTTAATCCTATAAAACAAGTAACAATCCAATGTCTTGTGTTTCTGGGAACTGGAAATATTGTGTTTTCCAAAAATAAGACCTACCCTGAAAATAGCAATAGCAATAGCAATAGCAGTAGACTTATATACCGCTTCATAGGCCTTTCAGGCCTCTCTAAGCGGTTTACAGAGAGTCAGCATATTGCCCCCAACAATCTGGGTCCTCATTTTACCCACCTCGGAAGGATGGAAGGCTGAGTCAACCCTGAGCCGGTGAGATTTGAACCGCTGACCTGCTGATCTAGCAGTAGCCTGCAGTGCTGCATTTAACCACTGCGCCACCTTGGCTCTAGCCTGATTTTTAAGCAGGTCTAATCTAAGCCCTACTCCAAAAATAAGACCTAATGAAGATTGTCATCAGCTAGGGGGTTGATGAGCATGGCCAGCACAGGAAGCAGAGAGGGGGTCGGGGCCAATGGTGTCCAGCAACAGCAACAGCCTACACAGTACAAGTGAGTTGATTACCTGCCCAAGCAGGTAAGGCAGAGGGGGAGAGGCAGGTGATCTGGATATTTCACATGGATTGTGGGAAAGCCAAGAGTCAATGGGCCATAGTAGGTGGGTTGCTGCAGGAGGCTTGTCTTCACATGACGGTACTGGAAGCAGATGGAGGCGGAGGCATGGGGAAGAACGCAGGTGATCCCAACACACTGCACGGGCCACAGCAAGCCTGAGAAAACAAGTCTCCCACAGCTGTCTGCCCACTCCTTCCCACCATCTCTTGGCTTGCCAGCAGCACCTGCAGTACATCCAGATTGTGTGCCTCCCCACCACGCCTTCCTGCTGCAAGTGCCACAACACGAAGATGAGCCTTCCATGGCTGCCTGCCTGCTCTGACCAATGACTCTCAGCTTTCCCATAGCCCATGTGGCATGTCTGGATTGCATGCCTCTGCCACTGCCTGCTGGTTGGACAGGTAATACCTCACCTGTGCTGTGCAGGCTGCACAACCCCAGAGTGTGCCAACCGAGTGGCCAGCTGACTGTAGCTGCTGTCGGATGTTAGCATCTGTGTGCTCACCATCTTTTCTATGTGTGCCGGGGTGGGTGGGGCGGCCAGTCAAGCTGATCACTCTGAAATTATATTTCCTGAAAATAAGCCTTAGTGCTTATTTTGGAGTCTCCAAAAACATTTAAGAGCCAGTCTTATTTTCAGGGAAATATGGTAGCAAAATCATTAAAACATAGGGATGTGGATTTATTGACTTATTGGAAATGCAGTTTTCCAGAATAAATATTTTTGTTCTTAAAATATGTATGGAAAAACATTCCAAGTATTGCATGTGTTGAAAATCAAAAATTGTGTTATTTAATGGGATGTACAAAATGATTAAAAAAACACTTTATCATAGTCATTTGTTTAGTGAATGACATCTCCAGTTTAATGAAAGCATATATTAGAACCAAATATTTATATCCAAAAAACACCTAGAGCAATTCCAAGTTAGACCAGAAAAAATTAACAGCATGAAGAAGATATATGTAATTTGTGTTAAAACATTGAAGAAAATAAAGACATCAGTCATTAACAAACATTTTTTTCCATATTGCTCTTCTCTGTACTAATTCAGAAACCTGTTTCAAACAGCTGCCATGATATTTTGTGTGACAGATGAAATGGTTAAAAGAAGACACAAGTAATTATTGCAAAGATACAAATGATTCCTCTTGAAATCTTTACATACAAGTATAGCTGAAGGCTTTTCATGGTACTTTATCTTAAAGCTTTCTACAACATGAGATAAACAGAGCACCTTTCATCATGTTATTGTAGAAACAAATTTCAATTAAATACAGTATCTGAACAGTGGAAACGAGTTTTTTAAATGTAGTTTTAATGCACTTTTCCTTAAAATTACATAAGGATTTGACTCAAAAAATTAAGACCATCACTTAGATTTAGCAAGAAGCTGCCCCATAGGTTCTATAGCCGAAATACTGTATAGCAGAGGTCCCTAATCCCATGAGCCCCAAATGGAAACGTCCCTTCCCCCCTTTTTTATATCCCATAGAGCTCTGCAGATCACACTTCTAAAATCCAAAGGGACCCTGAAAAGCAATTTGTTCCTAAAATAGAAAGGTTATGGTTCTGATTAGGAATTCTTAGCACCCATTCCCACAAAAATGAATAGGCAAAATATTAACAGCTACACTTTCTCTTATATTGTCATTCTCTTACTATCCCCTCTTTATAATTGTTCACTACTGGAAAAATTGCCAAAAAATTGCTTACTTTGGCTTTGAATGTCTCTGGAATCAGATTTCAGATTGATCTAAAATTATAAGCGTTACTCATTTTTCAAACTTATTACTTTATTCAAACTATAATGACAAGAATTCAAAGAATTAAATAGCCTACGTACATGGCATTACTTTGGAGGAAATGTTAGGTTTTTATTTCCCATCAGCAGATTTTTAATCTATTTGACCAAATAAAGTTTTTTTTCCTTACATGAACACCTGGAACTAATTGTTACAGCGCTGTTTCATTTCGGAAATAACTGTGAAAAGTAAATTCTGGGACATATGGAAATGGGAACTTGCTTGCAACTCTTTAAAATGCACATCTGGTCCTAGCATGGGACTAGATGTGGTCTTATCGGCAACAAGATCTTGGGAAAGATATAGCTGCTTTAAAAGAGTTGCAGACAATTGTGGCAGTCGCACTCCCATGTGCTCCAAGGTTACTTTTCTGGAATTGAAACTAAAGTTTTACCCAGCCTTTGTCTGCTTCTTTGAATCCCACTCTGCAACTTTAACCTCTGCTCTGCTGTTTAACCAGAAGAGTTAAAAAAATTAAGAACCATTAAACATCACCATGCTACACCAAAAATTGACTGTGTTTATCATGGTTTTTCATCCCATAACTAGTGGGTAAAAATGTTTTCATACATTTTGTATACATATTTTTTTAATACAAAAATGCTTTTTTGACAGTTATTTAAAATTTATTTGTATACTTAAATGTTCCTTTTAAAAATTATTCTGGATTTTAGCAGGTTTGGCTTTGTAGAGATATTGCATTTATCTGCTTGTTAGCTGCTTCCAGTTATGAATTATTCTATATTTAAGACTAATTTCTATTATCTATTTCTATTTATTTTATTTTCTATTTTTAATATTCATTTACATTATTGTAGTTATTTCATGGTGATGCTTTTAAAAATTATTCATATTCAATGCAAATAATTCTAATGAATGTTAAGTTTAAGATTGGTTAAAAACTCTAAGCCTGAAATCAAAATTTATAAATGCAGTGTTGTTAACAAAGAAAACTGTTTTCATTACTCTGGGCCCTTAAGCATTATCTTATAACATAGAAAGAGGTGGTCACATGCCTCTTCCAACTACTTTCAAATGCTCCTTAGGAGATGGCATTATTTGGCCAGGTTCTAAAGCTAACTAAGCTTACACCTGGTTAGCATGTGGATGTTAATCACAAAGGAAAACAGCAAGGTTGTAGCCCAGCCATGGAAGATAAAAACATCTAAAAAAAGGCAATGGTATGCTGTTTCCATAGTATTGTCACAAAAACTACACAGTTTTGTTCCAGGTTGTCACTACTAATTGACTCAAAGCTGCCTTTACCTTCAAGGACAGGTAAAAAGATTTTGTGAGCATTTCCTAAGTAAAGGTTAGCCAAATAGGCTAGTGCAATAATCTCAATTAAATAATTAATTATGATTTAAAATGATGAATGGGAATTTCTGAATAACAAATTCCAATCTTTCCCAACTTTTGCTGAGATGTGTGACCAAAAGCATATAAAACAGCTTGAAAAATAAGACTAAAATTTCATATAAGCCCTTGGGAATATGCATGCTACAAAATATCATGATCTGTGTTGATTTTATTTTGTCCCATAATTTCCAGATCAAACTTGGTAACATGAAGGATTTGATTGTTACTCTGAAAAAGCACCATGATTACAAAGTTTGTTTTAATCGTCCTTTTCTACAATCACTTCTCCATGAAGCACTTTCCTTCTTTGACGTAGCATGTGAAAGTACAGTTGTGGAAACACTAAAAAAAAAAGGGCCAAAAATAAAACAAGTTAGACTATGATGAAAATAAAATGTGCAATCAAACTTCAGTGCACTTAATTGATAACATATGGAACTGAACCTTGGATTAGTAAATTGGCTAGTATGATCCAAATCTGAAAGTCCAAGAATTGTTTTTAGCTTATTGTGTATTATTAGTCTTTGTTAAGGTTTTATTACTATTTCAAAATGATACTTTTGAATTAATATATTCATTAATAATTAAATGAGTAACACTGGACAGTATTTCATTAGATAGTTATTTCAATGTATTATGTTGAGTATTTGGGAAGACAATAACTTCATGTTCCTGATTTATAGTGAAGACATGCTGGGAAGGAATTCTAGTCTTTGCAAATCTAGTACATCTGGAATATTTGAAATATATTACTGATCAATCTAGTGCAGTTTTGCCTACTCCTGTAAATAGCAGTTCTTCATGATCTCTGGCTCCCAAAATTTTTTCCAGGCTAATCAAAATCCTTTTAATTTTAGGTATCATACCTAAGGAGTTGTGATGCCTGACAGAATTTCACTGGAGATCCATGTTTTAAGTGGTAGTTAATTTCAAATGAGTATAACATTCAAAGCATTCTTAAAAAGTAGCTTTATACAACAAAAACAATTTTATTTTATATATATATATATATTCATTGAAACTTACATGGTATATAAGAGGCCATGATGATGAGCAGAAAATAGTAGTAGTCAAAAGACACATTATATTTGTTGGGAAGTCTCACTGAAAACATGCCTGATCTCTTCACAAAGGGTAATGCTGCATATATTGTTAGAAGCTCACCAACAACTCCTACTGGATATAGGATGATGAAAAAATTGTACCTGAAAGAAACAGCAGATAAATTGCTTGTCTTCTACTTTGCAATACACAATTAGAAAAGGAAAGATCAACCAAAAGTATATGTGCATTTATCTAAAATAAGTTCAGTGTAGGATAATGTAGTGTTCTTAACATTGCTTTAAATATGTATTCATTCTACTGGGCAAGCCAACAGCAGAGTATCTTTCTCAGGTATCCATATTATTTTGAAGCCTGCCTGAAAACCTGCTCATAGGGGTGTCAGTGGGAAAGGGTTTGCAATCATCATCTAAAGTGTCCTACATCCCCCCCCCACCCTTTTAGGGTTAGATTCTAGGTAAAAAGGAATAATCTCACACAGTTCCAATCACTGTTCATCTACAGCGCTCCTGCACTTTTTTTTGTTGCCTTGCCTGTTCCAGCTTCTTGGCAGCCATAGTGGCTGCCTCTTCTCCTTGTCATGGATGAGAGGGAAGAAAGCCCTGGATTAAGTGGGAGAGTTGTGACTCACTGTGACCTGCAGGGCGTCCCTCTTTCCTTCACCACCCCTACTGGATGCTTTTAGCTCCTTTTGGAGCCCTCCAATGGGGAGAACACGGCATGGGAGTACAGAGACTCACTCCTTGCGTCCGATCCCACCACAACGTCAGCCGGAAGAAATCAACAAAAATGTCATGTTTGCATGTGAGAAACTGCTTTACCCCACTGGGATTAACCTGTCATACTCATTCCATCAAAAAGGGTTTCTGTCAGTCAAAGGATTTTATCTAGTAGAATCCAGAAGAAGAGCCTTTTCTACTGTAGTCCCCATCATCTGGAATATTCTCCTATCAGACATGAGATCCAGTCTCACACGCCTGGCTTCTGGAAATGCATTGCCACTTGGTCTGGGGTCACCACTGGGGCCTACTATATTGGGAGCAGTTGATGAGAAAATATTCTTTCCCTCAAGCTTCCTATTATGTTGGTTTTTAATTTTAAACTTTTTATTCTGTTTTAATTGTTTTTGCACTTACATTTTATTATATTGCAAACTGCCCAGAGTTGCTGTATTAATGAAATGGGCAGCCTAGGAATCCAATAACTAAATAAAAAATTGTGGATGCTTATAAAAAGACATGGCTTCAATCACAAAGCTATAGCTATCATTTTCATTCTCCCTTATAGATACCCCTGCCTATTTGAAATATAACTGTATAAAGAAAGGCAATGGTAAAGATTTCCCTTGTCAAATTGCGTCTGATTCTAGGGGGTGGTGCCCATCTCCATTTCTTAATGTTATCTGAAGGCATTTCCGTGGTTATATGGCCAACACGACTCTATGTTGAAATGCATGGAAAGCTGTTACCGTTCCACTGAAGGGCATACTATAATAATGTACTGGCTATCTACTCAGAAATAGGCTTTATAAATTCAGCAGATCTATAAGGATTTTACTGAATCTTTATATCAGGTAGAAAACTTTTTATTCTCACTAATATTAATTCTCACTAATACTAATACTATTCTCATTAGTATTCATAATCTAAAATGTTCTAAAATTTATTGCTGCTATATTTTTCCTTACTTACTTATAATTTTTTTGTTAATTTATTCATTTTTTCTTCTTTTTTTCCTATAAGGACCTGAGGCCTTAGATTATAGTGACACTTATAAATTTAGCTTGAAGTATATGCTCTAATGGTTTAGGATGGCATTAAAAATGCTAGGTTGAATGTTTTAAAAATGAACTGAGGAACAGCAGTCAAGCAATCCCCACAGCTATTTCTTATAGGCAACTATTGATGTTATATGGATAAAAGTTCACAACTGAAGGAATAGCATCTTGGGAAATGCTAGGGTGAATTTTTAAAAAAATGAAAGATCGTCTGCTTTGAAAAGCACTGCCTTATTTACTTGTTGTCAAGTCACACACTGAAAACCTTCAAAAGGATATGAAAATACTTGAAGAGTTTTCATGCAAGATACAGCATGCAAATATAGTTTCCATAAAATAAAACCTCTCTTCAACTCATGCTGGAAAAAGCAAGGAGACAGTGACAAAAACTGCACAAAGGGCATTCCATGAAGAAAATAATTAAGATTTAAAGCAGCAGCCCCAGAACCTGAAAACTTCATTAAGATTTAATAGACTTAGATAATATATAGGTCAACGGGAATGGAATGAATGGGAATCAACAAGAGGCCCCAAAATATCTTGAAGGAGAAACCAATTAATGCAACTTTAACTATAACAGCTGCAAATCAATAAAGCTAAGGTTAAAATCATTCCTTTGTAAACAAAAAAAAAATTGCAAAACCAAAATTTGAGAATCTAAACCAAAAAGTCACTGCACCAAAATGTCTTTTGAATTTTGAACACCCACTTAGAAAAAAATCAAGTGGAAAAGTTCAGATTAGGGCTATCATTTTCATTTCACAAAAGAATGGCTGCCATCTAATTGCCATATGGATTTTTGCAATTCTATTTTGAATTATAGTTGTCTTTGTTCTATGATATTCAGACAACTTGCAGAACTTCTGATTTACACTCAGAAGAGTCCAGTGTTTGACTATTATTGTTATTATGCATTTTCTTAAGTTTCAAAAAAAATGGATTAATTTTCTCATTTTTTGTTTTGTTTAATGAACTACTCTAGTGCTATTGTATGTGGTATCTTATTAAAAATATGAAAATTGTGCCAACCTTTACATATATGCAGTCCTGTAAATCAGGTTTAAAATTTAAATTCTGTATGCTCACAATGAACTTTCCAGCAAACCAATTTTTTTTCTTCAACAAAGGTTATTTGGGGGGGAGGGGGGTCAGCAAAGTGGTAGGTTCTATTTCTTTCTTTCAGCTCCATTGAAATGTTTGGTAATTTAAATTGCTAATTTACTGGCATTCTTCATTTGCATTGTTTATAATTTATTGCTACTTACTGCCATTTATGTAGTATTGTAATGATGTAGATAAATATTAACATTTAACTGAACACGTAGTACAGCTCAATGGAAAATGATCCTATCTTACTAAAGAGACCCAAGTTCAATTCTCTATTCAGCTTGGAAGCTCTTCATGAAATTCAATTAATTTTATGTTAGTTAAAATAAAAACCTGATTTACCTTGAGAAGAAGAAGAAAATGCCCCAAATGTTAATTGTGTAGGCCTTTGCAAAATATACTATTATGATTGAATCTCCAAAGTGAAAAACACTTTTACTGGATGGATATAAAAAGCAGCATACTATAATAATCACTATCATGATGTCCAGAGGCTCAGTTTCAGTCCATATACTCTGTGAAAACCAGCATGGCTACAATAACTAGCTACTGAAGGAGAAATTACCTGGGAGAAAAGCTCATGTTGAATATGAATAGAATACAGGAAATTTAAATTCTGTAATAACTCACTTTTTAATTTTTTAGATATGACGTGCCTTTCCAGAAACCATACTTCTATTTACCTTCTTTTACATTTAATTCAAGCCAAATAATCTCTCAAAATGGCAGAACAGAAAGCATCTTACAAATTTTCTAATAAGGTGCTGACCTACAAACCAGGATACTGGAGTTCTAGTCCTCATTTAAAGATGAAAGCCAGCTGGGTGACCTTGGGTCAGTTACTCTCTCTCAGCCTAACCTACCTCACAGAGTTTTTGTATGAAAAATAGGAGGAGGTATTTATAAAAATTTATAATGCGGGATAAACATCTAATAAGGAGATTAATATAAATTCAATAGTCAGTCTTTTTAAAAGACACACACAAGCAGGCCTTAGGAATATTAATGGCATAAGCAAAGGGAAAGTTAACAAAAAGTTACAGAATTCTGCTTTTAAAATACATCCAGTTCTAAGAATTTACAGTGTCTTTCAAACACATCAAATCACTTTATAGACATACACGGAAAACTCTCAAAGCAAATTTCTTCCTAGCTGATTAGGCATGCATGAAAAGCATGCTCAGAACAATGAGAAACTAAACTGCAAGGCATTCTCCACCTGGCCCATTTTATGAAGTATGGCAAATGGTTGAGCATATTGAATGTGTAGAAGGAATATCGAGTAATCTCAGTCACAGTCCAAACAACCAGAAAAAGAATAACACTCTCCTCATTCTGGATCTGTGGAAGTATAAAGAGCCAATGTTTCCTTGAATCCTTAGAATTGCAACAAACTCTCAGATAATTCACCAAAGTCAATATAGTTTAAGATGAATTTAGACGCTGTCTATATTTTAGTCTAAGTGAGTAGGTTACTATTGAACAGAAAAAGATATAGAAGCAAAGCAGTGGTGGGTTTCAAATTTTTTTAGAACCTCGTCTGTAGGTGTGGCCTGCTTTGTGGGAGTAGCTTGCGAGCCATGTGACTGGGTGGAGTGACTTGCTGGCCATGTGACTGGGTGGGCATGGCTTGTCGGCCATGTGACCGGGTAGGCGTGGCCAACTTGTAAAACATGGCGAAACTCACCTAACAACGCTCTTGCTTAGCAACCAAAATGTTGGCTCAGAAACTCTGGCAATTGAAGCATGCAAGTCTTAAAGCTGTCACGTTACAAGACCCTTGCACCCCTAACCCTTTAGAAAAAAAACCCCAATGGTGTTCAAACTTGGCAGCTTTAAGACTTGTGGACTTCAACTCCCAGAATTCCTCCTCTCGCTCTTCATCTTGATGATGTGCGGACGGGTGGGGGAGGGAGATGGAACCGGTTCTAAATGGCACTGTAGATTTGTGGAATCTCTTCTCTAGAAGTTAGAACTGGTAGGAACCCACCCCTGAAGTAAAGAAATGATACGTACTGTAACATTTTTCTTATTTTAAAACTAGCCATTCTCTTCTGTTTCTCTCTTTTTAAGATGATGCCTATATCATTTATATTTGGTCCCATAAACACTATCTCCATCACCCTTGGTGGTCTCCAGATGTAATGGAATTCCAAAACTCAGAATCTCCAGTCAAAAATGGGAATTCTGAATATTGAAATCCTACACATCTGCGGAGCAGTAGGTTAAAAAAATGTTACTGTATGTAGTTTCACAGAAGTAACTTTTTTAGAATTTCATCCCAAGTATATGTAGGGGTGCTAAACTATTCAAATAACTGGCAAAAAAAATTTATTTTTTTTACAGAGGTTATATTGGCTCAGGTTTTGAGGGATTCTTTGGCAAAACACCCTTGATCCATAAAAGGATAAAGCAAACAAATTAAAAATTCTTGCACGTGCTTTTCAAAATAAAATGTTAACATTGTTGTAATAAAGAACCTTTTTTGCTGTTCTTAGACAGATAGAGAAAAGCCCTTAGTCATTTCACTGTCCCAAGAGCTTTATCGATCTAGCCATTCTTTTATGATATCAGCATCTAGGGTGGATTAAATTAATGCCCAGATTTACAAACTAAGATCTATTGATTAGTTTCTGAAAAATCATTATACACAAGTACTTTTCCTTTCATTAAAATAGGAAGAATTTTGTAATAGATCTTCTTGCTCGAAGGCTAATACACATTCCAATGGCATCTGAGAAATAAAAATTCAAAATTGTTTTTTTAAGAGAAAAGAGAACCTTGAATACTTCCAGCTAATGCGCTATGATGACTAACAATGACTAATACAAAGATTGTATATTAGTTTTAAGAATATCAATTTTGTAATTAATAAAGGTAAAGGTTCCCCTTGCACATATGTGCTAGTCATTCCTGAAGCTAGCTGTGGTGCTCATCTCCGTTTCAAAGCCAAAGAGCCAGCGCTGTCCAAAGACGTCTCCGTGGTCATGTGGCCGGCATGACTAAACGCCCAAGGCGCACAGAATGCTGTTATTTTTCCACCAAAGGTGTTCCCATTTTTTCTACTTGAATTTTTACATGGTTTTGAACTGCTAGGTTGGCAGAAGCTGGGACAAATAATGAGAGTTCACTCCATTAGGTGGCGCTAGGGATTTGAAGCACCGAACTACTGACCTTTCTGATCGACAAGCTCAACGTCTTAGCCAATGTCCCTCTTTGTAATTAATACATGCATTCAATTTTTTTCTCTAAAAGTGTTTAAGGAATAGGAATATTTTTTGTTTAACCTCTGTACAAGTGTTGTTATATTTGCACTTACTCTGTGGTTTCCGGGAGTGGGGGGTGGGGACTAAATGCTTATAAGCAATGCAAATTGGTTAAGGCATAATGAAGGGATAAGATAGAAATCAAATTGCTTTTTAACCTTTTCTTTCTAATTTGAAGGAAACAATAATCAACAATGCTATTAAGACCTTCATATTAAGGTAGAAACCTTTATTATATATAAAATAATTTAAGCCTTTTAAAGTTGTTTATCAAAACTAAACTCACCTCTGGGTATAAAATATAAGCAATCTTATGCTTATTATGCGATATTAACATTTTAGAAAACACATTAAAACTTTTTTCTTTTTATCTTTAAAGTTATCTAAATCATCACTGTTAATAATATCTAGTCAACACTGTATAAATACCACTGTACCCATATATGTTACTACTTGTGTTTTATAGTAACACACTAAAACAATATTTCAAATTTGCGTATCCTGATTTATTACTATAGAAAATCAAGTGTGGGATTACCACACATTTAGGGTTTTCAAAGCTCTTTTGAAACCTGAATTCTTTGCATATGGCATAGTATAATTTAATTTATGCATTATAAATCAGAAAGCTTCATAGCCTTTTTGTTGTTGCTAATAACATTATCATTCTACAGTTATTTTTATACGTTTTTTCCTGGTTTTACAAATAGTCCTTGATTTATAGACATTCATTAAGTGACCATCTGAAATTACAACAGCACTCAAAAAAGTGACTTATGATCACTTTTTACATTTATTACTGTTACAGCATCTCCATGGTCACATGATCAAAATTTGGACACCTGGCAACTGGCACATAACAATTTCACTATACCAGAGTCATGGTATCATCGTTTGTAACCTTCCCAGCCAGCTTCCAACAAGCCACAAGAGGCTAAGCCAGCTTTGCTTAATGACCACATGGTTTATTTAATAACCAGAGTGATTAATTTAATAACTGTGTCAAAACTCACTTAACAACTGCCTTGCTTAGCAATGGAAATCTTCAATTATTGTTGTAAGTTGAGAACTAGCTGTAGTATTCCCCCCCCCCCCCCCCCCGTCCCATATTGGCTCTAGTATTCTCTGGAATCAATGTGCTTTTTTACATTTTTCTTTCTGAGAAACATAAACCTAACATAATCAATATCTTAGAAAATAGATGATACCTTCTATCGATGCTGAAAAAGTATTTATATATAAACCATGTTTAATTATCTAGTCCAGGGGTGTCAAACTCACGTCGTCATGGCGTTATCACGTGACTTATCAGGACTTTCCCTCACTTCACTAAACTGGGTGTGGGCGTGGCCAGCGCATAACGCATCCGGCCTGCAGGCTGGAAGTTTGACAGCTCTGATCTAGTCTAATAAAAAATAAACTTCCAAGTACCGCAGGAAGAGAAAAACACCCATATGATTTTAATCAGCGGGAAGAGGCCATTCCTACTTACTTTCCCACATAAGGAAATCACTAAGTGCCATCTGCTGGTGAGAGATCCAACTGTTTCAAAGTGCATAGAGGCATACAAAAACAAACCAGCTTTATGTGAGCAAACGTTCTAAAATCTAAGATACATTCAAATAGTAATCACAATCAATTTAGTAAAAATTGCTAAATACAACTGATCTGACAGGCTATGAAATAGCATAAAATGCTGTTTACCTTATTATAATAAATCTGCACTCCATCCAACAAAAATGGTGTAAGGCAGTCATGAATATATAGGTAACCAGACTTTTCTTCTCACTTTTTTGTGCAATAAGAAATGATCTTCCAGCGAATGCATTTAAGATTGGCATTTCCATGTTCGTCTAAAGAGAACTTCTTCAACTGAGGAGAATTGCATTCTTGATTCGAAACATTTATACTGGCTGGATTAATAACTATACCAATAATCTCTTTGTAGTGTATCAGAACAGAAGGAAGCTATAAACTATTAAATACAATTGAAATTAATGGAACACTGAGGGACTAGGCTCCATTCTTCTGTTTACTTCTATTTTTCAACGTAGATATACTACTTAATGTATAATAATTGCTCTTAGGACATATAACCAAAAATTCAGCTTCCTAAAATTGCATATTTCTCCTCAAACCAAAATCTCTTTACCCAATTCCAGTTTATAATATGCATTGCAAGAATGGGTACTTTTTCTTGGTTATTTTAATACGGAACACTTTACTATTAGAATGGCAAAACATAAAAATTGGATATCCAACCTCAATGGCCTTTACAACCTCTTCACCCATATGCAATTACTAGAGAGTTTTTCATTCACCTTATAGCTCTGAGCATTTCAGTCGCTCTTAAGACCATTGACAATGGGTCTATACCAGTGGTTACCAATGTGGGGCCCAAGCCCCACAGGGCAGCAATTTTATTTTTAATGGGGGCAATTTCAAAATAGGCTATTAACTGAATTTTTGAAAGCCTGCTAATTGTTTTTATATATTTGTGATGAAACAGCTGTGTTTCATTTACCTTTTGTTGTCTTTATTAAAGTGCATTTCCTAGGATCTGGTCTGGAAAGGATATCCCAGCTGGAGAGGGGGGGGGGAATGATGGAGCAACTGCCAGCCAATCAGATGTGTTCTCACTAAGGATCATGGGACTGGCAGAGTCTCTCTCTCTTTCCTGTGGGCTTTGCTGATGGGTGCTTGCAGGGAGAGCTGCTCAGTGGGGGGAGAGAGTTGATGATTGCTGGGGGAAGTCCAGCAGTGAAGATACAGAATCAGGACCCAAGTTTAAATAAGAAATTATTAGATTTACAATTATTTTTAGTCTGTGTTTTCCCAGGCCATGTTTTACAAGACGTTTTCTCAGAGAAATCTGGGGCTGAGCCATGCATGCGTAGGCCTTGACAAACCTGTGTGTTTCACTTTTACCTATTGAACTACTAAAGCATTTCCCCACTAAGCTACAGGTTCAAACTGAGTGGGCGAGTAGGGAGGTCCCTTTCGTTCACGGCAATCTTATTATTCATAAATTAAACCAGGAATGTTTTTTAAATTTCCTTTGTGATGAGACAGAAACTAAATACCAAATTCAACCTACTTTGCAAGAAAAGTGCTGCTACCGTTCCCATCTTTATATTTAGCTGAATGTGGCTTTAGTAAATGATTTGCTACTGAAGAAAAGAAATTGACTGAACGAGGAAACATGAGAATGAAGCTGACTAAATTGGAGCCTAATATAAAATCTCCCTGCAGCAGGCATCAAGCACAAGGATCTCACTAACAAATAGACTAAAGCTGCAATCCTACAACATTTTCCCAGGAGTAAGTCCCATTGAAGACAATGGTACAGTGCTTTCCCGAAAATAAGACAGGGTCTTATTTTCTTTTGACTCCCAAAATAAGTACTTGGCCTTATTTTCGGGGAGGTCTTATTATTTTTGAGATGCAGGAGGCAGCGAGCATGGCCACCTCATGGCTGCTGCTGTGTTGCAATTTTGTCAGGGAGGGCTTATTTTCAGGGGAGGGCTTATTTTAATGCATGCGCTCAAAAGCCCAACTGCACTTATTATTCAAGGAGGTCTTATTTTCAGGGAACCAGGGTACTTACTTCTGAGTAGACATGCATAGGATTGCATTGTAAATACGATCTTGGGGTGAGCTCAAACTGTATTTTGAATTTGTTAGGTACCTTTTCTTTAATATGTATAGTAATTTATATGATCAGAAAAAGTTTTCATTAAAATTATTTCATATTTATGCCTTTCAGTTCACTATTGTATGTTTTAAAACTTTATTTGCTGTTTTTTCATGTCCCTTCATACTATTTTTTTTTTTTTAAGTTCCTCGGTACTTCTGCTGTCTTTCATTCTTTTATTTTTCTCTTTCATGGATGTCCTGTTCTTTGGAACCTTATTTAAACCAAGTTAATGGCCTTTTAGGCTTCATCTGCATGAACAGAAGTTCACTTTTTGAATAGTAAAAATTATATGTCACGGGATTTGAGAGATGCTTAGGTGGGACATGACCCCCCAAAATTTGGGAATCACTGGTCTATACTAACTTATATTTTAAATTTTTCAATGTACTTCTAAATGTTTAACCGTTTGAATGATACTACTGTTTCCCAGAAAATATGACAGGGTCTTATATTTTTTTGACCGACGAAATATGGCCTTGAGCTTATTAAAGGAGAGGGCTTATTGTTTTTGGGTTGCCGGGCGACTTCTCCCTTGTGACCGGGCTCCCAAAGAGCCGGGCACAGCCTCAGGATCAAATGACTGTGTTGCACTGTCGCAGCAGCAACACAGCAGCCATAAGGTGACCACACTCTCAAGCAGCCACACAGCAACCCCCCTTTCCAGCCAGGCACAGCGCTGCTGACTGATCTAGGGGTACCTGGAAGGCACTAAGCAACGCGAGCGCCTGTTCGCCGCCCTCCGCCTCCCGTGGCTCGGCGCCTTCGGAATGCCCCTAGGTGAGTGAATGAGGCTCTGAATGGCTGGAGAGGGGGGTTGAGCGAGCGGCTTTTCCGCTCCCCGCTCACGTGACTCACAGGCTCATGATACCCTTGGCTAACTCTACAGTAACTGCAGAGCTAGGGCATCTCCGCTGCTGGCACCGCCTGCCGCTTGGTTTTTTTTTGTTTTTTTTTTGCGGCTTTCAAAGCACGGAGGACAGATGCTGCTCTGGAAGTACGCTCTATTGTAGCGTACAACCATAGAGCATACTCCCAGAGTGGCATCCATCCTCCGTGCTTTGAAACAGCTTTCAAAAACAACCACCAAGCAGCAGGCGGCACCAGCAGCGGAGATGCCCTGGCTCTGCAGGTACTATAGATTAGCCAAGGGCATCGTGAGCCTGTGAGTAGCGCGAGCAGGGAGCGGAAAAGCCGCTCATGCAACCCCCCTCTCCTGCCCCATTCACTCACCTAGGGACATTCCAAAGGTGCCGAGCCACAGGAGGTGGAGAACAGGTGCTCGTGTTGCTTGGAGCCTTCTGGGTACTGCTAGATCAGTCAGCGGCACGGTGCCCAGCTGGAAAGGGGGGTTGCCAGGCGGTTGCGAGTGTGGTCATCTTATGGCTGCTGTGTTGCTGCTGCGGCAGCGCAATACAGACATTTGATCCTGAGGCTATGCCCGGCAACACCCCTCTTTTCAGCTAGGCACAGCGCCGCTGACCGACCTAGCAGTACCCTGAAAGCACCAAGCAATGCAAGCGCCTTTGCCCCCCACCTCATTCCCGCAGCTTGGTGCTTTTGGGATACCACTAGGTTGGCAAGCGGTGCTCTGCCTGGCCGGAGGGGGAGATTGTCCAGGGGGCTTATTTTCAGGGTGGGCTTATATTTTTGCCCACATGAAAAACGTGGCAAGGCTTTAGTTTCAGGATAGATTGTATTTTTGGGGAAACACGGTAGGATATTGTGGACCGAATGATGCTTGGTTGCTTACCTGTTTTATACTATGTGTAACAAACCACACCATGAAGATTCTGGAACTCAATTGGACCCCCGTCACAAGCACAGATGTGTGCACTACTCCTTAAAAAGAGAAATAGGTCACCGTTGTCCAATAAAGAGTGGGCTTAGTTAACTGAGGAACTGAAAAGAGACTCACCAACCGCACAGTGGATTATCTGTAAAATTGAAAGGAGGGGTAGACAAAAGGAATTGGGACGTGAGTATTCAGAATTCATCTATGACTGGAAAATCTCTGCTTAGCTGTATTCTTTTCAGAGATATTTTTCTTACACATGGAAATAACAAATTTAATTTGGACATGTATTTTGTATCAAGAATGAGTTTTAATATGGATAATACAAGCTATACAGTAACCATGGAGAAATTACTGGAGAAGCATGCTCACTTGCCAATTTGGGAGTAGAGAAAGAGAGACTGGTGACCTAATTCAATATTAATTTAAAAACAGCAGCAATAATGAAAGGTGATATAATAGCAAGCTGTCCTTTTTTCTTACCTCAGCCAAAATGTATCCAATTTAGATTATACAGATTGCTGGTTATGGCATTTTGACCAGCCTGGCATCTTCCTTATGATTTGAAATTAATTATTCATTATAATTAGGTAATTATAATGCAATACAAATGAATTGAAAGAGGTGAGTTATGATGTCTCCCAGTTACAAATGGATAAAATGACATAGTCTTACTTGTTGGCACAGTGCTTACTACTGGTGCTACTTAGTGTAAAATGACGTCATTTGTCTATAATTTAGTTCATTGTTTCTCTCTCCTTCTCACTTTTTCATAGTTATGACTAACATGCATCCCCAACTCAACCATGACATTTATTATTGTGTATCCATTTTCACTGTTGTTGATAATGACTGAGGGGGGGGGGGAAGACATGATTACAAGTTGGAAAAAATAAGCAAATAATTATATGGCACTAGAGTTCAATATATAATTAACCAATCCTATAACCTGTAAAATTGTGAAGTCTAACATCTTGGGAAAAAAAACATTAAATAAATCTTAATTAAAAATAGCAAAATTGGAGAAATAATATAGTCACAAAATAGGGAGTGAATGAATAGAATGAATGATGCTTCCAGCGTATCCCACTAATTCTCAGCAATGATCATGTTAGTTGTAACTGATGAGACGAATTCCAAAGAATTTGGATGGCCATGTTTCTTATTCATGTCTTTATATAAAATCCACCCTGGACAACTAGGAAATTGTGGAAAATAAGCTTTAAATGCAGGCCACAGGAGGTTGCTATATATGATTTCTCTGGCACTTATATTCAAAGAGACTTTACAGTAGGGATGTCAAACTCAATTTCATTGAGGGCTGCATCATGGCTGTGATTGACCTTAGAGGGCTGAGTTGGCATGGCTGACTGGGTGGGCGTGGCCAGCTTGACATCGCTCACTGGCATGGCTGACTGGGTGGGCGTGGCCAGCTTGACATCGCTCACTGGCATGGCTGACTGGGTGGGTGTGGACAACTGGATGGCCGTGGCTAGCTTGCCACAACTCCCTAAATTGCACTGGATAGACCGGGCTGAAGCCTCATGTTTCCTCTTCGTATTGGGTAGACTGGGCCAAAGCAACGCGAGCCAGCCCCTTACATTTTCCAGGATGGCCCCGCAGGCCGGATCTGACCACATCGCAGGCTGGATCTTGCCCACAGGCCTTGTGTTTGACACCCCTGCTTTAGATGATTACAGTTAGGATTAAGATTCTCTATTGTGGTGAACTCTATTTATTTATAATGTTTTTATTCTGCTTTTGTCTCACAAGACAACTCAAGACAACCACTGCAATGGGGATAAAATTCCCCTAAGTTTATCCCCATTGCAGCAACCCAATGAAAGAATCTGAGCTGAAAGTAATTGTCCCCAAAGCCACCTAATGAGTTCCAGGGGTGAGTTGGGACACAAGCATGGGTTTCTATATTTCTTGACCACTGCCTTATGAGCATTAATGTGCTTTACTCTCTTCCAATCAGTGCATATCATTTGGCATTTATGATTACAAATACAAATTTTCAGGATATCAGAGCACAGGAAGATTTTTCCTACATTACTGCAAGTAAGCGTGAATGAACTGTAGGGATATTCAATAGATAAGAACATATTTAAGGAACCTTTAAAAGAACGGCAACAGACATCAAACTGCTCAAAGACTGATTGACAGGGAATGACATCATACTGGATAACAGCCAGCACAAAGAGAGAGGACTGGGTATCTGGAAATACAGAAGCCCACCAATGCAGATCTTCCTGATCCTTCAGGAATTTCTGAACAAGTTTCAGATGCATCACAAAATAGTGATAGTCTTTGATTAATGACCAGTCGCTTAGCAATTGTTCAAAGTTAAGACAGATCTCGCAGAGTTATTTATGACTTGTTTTCAAATGTCAGCTGACAGCTGCACCCATCGCTCAGTCACTTGACCACAATTTTTTTTTTTTTTTGCTGGTTTCTAGCATTTGTTTCAGTGTCCAGGAAAAAAAAATACTGGGGAAAACAGAATTATTTAATGACACCGATGTTCACTTAGAGTTCATGATGTTTACTTTATGACCACCGCAAAAAAGATTGTAAAACTGAACATAGTCACAGCTTACAACCATAATTCCAGTCATTAGTTGAGAACTACCCATATACTAACTGAATTAATTTAGATTACATTGCAGTCACCTGGAGAAGTTCTAAATGAGCACCCAGAGTTGCTATCAAATTTGCAGCATTAAAGTGTGTAAGCTGAAATGTTCTCATAGCACTTTAATATGGGATGTCTATGAATTATAATAATTTGATCTTGACATCTCACAAAATAACTATTATAGTTGCATATATTTTATGAGTGACAGCTAAGTACAGCTCTTATCTGAAGCCACTAATTCATCTAATGCAGCTGCAGTGACTTCTAGCAACTTCTAGGGCTTTTCATTTTAAAAAAGGTCTTGGTTTGGAAACCAGAATCTCAAAGAGACATTCTGGAAAATTAACTATCAATTCTGGCTCCAACTCCTTTTTTTCATAATTGAATACTTAATAAGGTGTCACAGAACAAAGGACATTCTGAAAGCTACAGTTGATACCTCAGAATATATCTGTAACAGTAGTGGGTTTCAATTCCCGTTGCAACCAGTATGCTGCAACAGGAGCCGGGCATGCACCACAGGCATGCACGTTGCACACATGCTCACCCACCTGTGATCCTCCAGCTGTTTGGCAGAGTGTCGCGCATGCGCCGTACGCTACACGCGCAGATGACCCATTTCCTTCAAATATAGGTAAGGAATGAGGGCGGGTGAGCGGGAGGGCCCTCCAAAGCACTGTTCTGGTACAGTGATTGCTGCTTCCGGCAGGCATCGATGCATGCATACCGGGGCATACCACCTGCAACCTATTACTGATCTGTAAGTACCTTCTGATCTCACTAATGGCCCAAGAGTGTCTGACAACAATTAGCTTAGGCTGCTAACTATTTTTTGTCCAGATTCACATTCTCCTTTCAAATAAGATATATTTACTAAAAACTTACCTCAAGCAAAGCAAAAGTCTGAAAAAATTTAAGTGTCTTTTGAATGCTTTTATATAAGCCTTTGTATGTTCCTTTGTCCATATAGAATCGGGCCATGGCAATAGCCAGTACAAGCCACCTAAATAGAAAAAACAATATCCTTAATGGAATAATGAACAGTTAAAAGTATTTTCATGTTGTCCCATATCAGTTATATATAAGTCGTCATCTCTTAGGCACTGTCATTCATCTGTGTTTTGTATTTATAACTAAGTGAAAGTGTTTTTACACAGCTAGAAATTCCAAAGTACTGGAAAGAATGGAGATCAAGTTTGCTCTGCAGCAGGACAACAACATTTCAGATAATTCCTTTCTCTAATCTCATCTATTATTCATGGCCCAACTGAATTTATTTTATTTCTTTTATTTACACATTTTGTACCACTAATTTCTGGTAATTTACAGCTATGCAAAGTTCATAACAAGAGTATATTTTAATAATCCTGGTAACAAGAGTGATTTCTATGTTTTTCAACAGTCAGCAGTTGTATAAAACAGCTGAATTTTAAATGCCCATTACAAAAATGTAATGGAAACCGCCATGCAAATTTCTGGATCATTCTATCATTCTATAGAAATCATTCTATTAAGAAAAAATGGGCCCTTACTAGATAGGTACATTAATATGCAGCAAATTAGGAAGTTGTTTTTTTTAATTTTCTGCACGTTTAATTATGATTCCAAATTCTGGAATGTATCTATTATGCAACAAAATGAAGGAAGATACACAAGCAAAAACTGATAACCACAAGTCTCTTTAAAGCATTTTTACAAGTCAAAGGGATTATGGTAGGAATAGTTCAAAAGGCGGCACGAGGAGGAAAGAAGCTAAATTCTGCTTTTGACAGTGAAATATTCTTTGGGATTATTATTATACAGTATAAGGAAGAAAAGTTTTCAGTTATCTCATTCCAAACTTTTGCAAGTTCTCTCTTTTAAAAAAGCTTTCATAAACCTTGGTAAAAGTTTAATAAATAATAAAGGTTTGGATTGGTTATGATTGATTATGTGCTATCAAGTAACAATTATATAGACTTCACAGCTAGACCTTCTCCAGGATGAATGTAATTGAGTAAATAAATAAAACAAATCTTAAGCTCTTCTCTAGGTAGTGAGGTCTGAATATCTTTTTAAACATATTTTATTAACCAGGAATAGAAGCTCCTCATAAAATGTCCAACCTAGTAAGTTTCTACAAGGCACCAAGTTATGGATTGCTTTAACAACTGTTTGCTGAATAAGAATATCTGACTGCTTATAAATAGTAAATATAAACAATTTATACATAGTAGAAAGACACATCTTCTGTGAATCAGTTTGGTTTAATAACTTCATGTCCTGCTTAGTCATGAAAGCTAATCATAGACCAGATACTTTCTCTCAGTTCAAACCACCTACAGGATTGCTGTTTTGGAGAAAATATTAGGAAGAAGCTGTGTTGTATATGTTTGCTGCCTTGAGTTATTTCTAAAAATGATAAGGCAGATATATATAAATAAAATAAATGAATCAAGCCGGACTCCTAGTGATCTTTTACATAGATGTAATTTAGGAGTTAAAATATAGAAGTAGCTACATAGGAACAGAATCATAAGTCACACAGGTTGGGTTTACTAATGTTTGTAATGGACTGTAGTAAGGGATGGATTCCCAGGAAGAAGAGGGTGCATTCCAGAAGAGTGAGAGGCAACTCAGTCCAGATACTACAGAAAGAGAAGACATCCCTCTCTCTAATAAAGGGATATAGAATATCCTGCAGGTGGGTCCTCAGGAGGCCTCAGTCTGGCAAGAATTTTTCTATATATGTGAAACAAAGACCTTGGAAGACTTATGACCATTGCCATTCTTGGTTTTTGGCTTGGCATGTTTGAAGAACACAAAGCATGCAAAAAGAAAAAAATGGGGGGGAGGGGGGATGAGGTTCTTTTCCAATCTTTTAATGATTTGAAATAGTGAAAATTGACCCGAGGTGGTGCAGTGGTTAGAGTGCAGTACTGCAGGCTACTTCAGCTGACTGCTAGATGCAGTTTGGCAGTTCAAATCTCACCGGCTCAAGATTGACTTCCATCCTCCCCAGATGGGTAAAATGAAGACGCAGATTGTTGGCAAGATGCTGTCTCTGTAAACCACTTAGAGAAGGCTATAAAAGCACTATGAAGCAGTATGTAAGTCTAAGTGCTATTGCTATGCTCAGGCAAAAGCAGAGTTGATAACCGCAGCATACCTTCTTTTTGGGAAAACCTTCAATTGTCATTTATATCTATTATGGAAGAAGGAGCATCTCTTAATTGAATATTCAGAAGAGTTTCAAAGTACAAATCAGATCTGTAATGTATGTCATTATCTAATTATGGTTTTATTCAATATGCGATGAAAGCATGGTGGTTAATAGAACCACTGTGTAAAGACCTGTTTCGTTTTAAACCCAGCTAAATCAATACAACAGGCTAAGCTGAAAGCAAACAAACTTATAACTTTGTACCAAAGTTAGAAAGTCCTTCTTTAAGGAGATTCCCACAGGCCCACTAACCCTCTTGTCACCCTGGAGGTTTGGGGTTAAATGCTCCCTGATCCACCTAAGGCTCTGGTTACCGCGGCCATCTGGCCGGGGCAGGTGCTATCGTAGGAAGCTGGCTCAAGTCAGTGGGAGGGGACCGAGCGCCGACTGAACATGCTCTTGTCTTCGGCGGCCACCGCAATAAATTATGCCGAGGGAAGCAGTCTGCCCCATTCCACACACCCCCGGCCGGCATTCCGGGCTCGGGCTATACTTAACCTCTCCGGCGGGCTCGAGGGATGACGTGCTCGTCTTGCTGGAAGTCTGCACCGTATTAGGCAATGCAAGCAAGCCAGGGCTTATTCCCCAGTCGCCGTGCGCTTCCCCGCCAATGCCGCCCCCTTTCTCCCTTCGCCACAAGTGCCCAGCAGGTACAGCCCCGCCGGTAGTTCAGAGAGGAAGCCTTAGGTCCTGGGACGGGGAGAAGGAAAAGTTCCGTTTTCGACCCACCACTGGCTCCACAGCAACACCCCGCTCACCCGGCCGTCATGGTGATGTTGTAGAAGATCAGCCAGGCTGTGGTCACCGAGCTGCGAGGCCGAAGCATCTTCTTGACATTCTCCTTCTCTTCCACAGACCCGTTACCGGCGCCGCTCTCCTCTTCGTTAGGCGCCATGGTTTCTCTCTTCCCCCGAGGCCAGGCGCAGACAGATCGAGGCACGCACGGCCGCGAAAGGGATCGAGGGGAGGAGCAGAGCAGGCGGGGCGGCCAGCAGGAGGGAACTTGGGACTCAAGCGACTGCGACTATCTCCGCCTCCCTTTCCTTTCCTGTACAAGGTGCCTCCCACTCACAACTTTGTGTTGGGTTCATGTCGGCAAAGGAGTTAATTAGAGTTGTAAGGGACCTTGGAGGTCATGCAGTCCAACCACCTGCTCATGCAGGAGACCTGTATTAGGGATTCGATCCGCCAAACTGCCAACCTCTTTCTGATCCACAAGCCCAGTGTCTTAGCCACTGAACCATCTAGTCAATTGTCATCTGGGGGATGGGTGGGGTAGGGTTGGGGGGAATGCGCTTTTGCTTGTCCTATGAAAGGCAATTTTCAAGAATAGGCAAATGAACATATTCCATCCCAGATACATTCTGACCTCCTTCCTTATTGCTTACACAATAATAATGGGAACTGCAAAATCTTCTAGTAGGAATGAGACTTACCCAAACTGCTGCTCTCTAGGTGGGTTGCATTACATCTACTCTTGGGCTTTTCCACATCCAAAAGAATAGCCAGTGGGGTTTGCAAGTAGTGATTCAGCACACTTGGAAGGCTTCAGACAGGCTTCTTCTGCAAGGCAGTTTGCACATTTCAAGAAATCACAAATTCTCCTTATTGAGAGAAAGAAAAATGGGTTCAGTAATTATTTGCATACTTTGAGATTTTTGCTAGGTTGAAAAGAAGGGTAGTTTATGTGTGATTCTGGTTCCTTTCTGATTACTCTTAATGACATGACTATAATCAGACAATTTCATGGTTTTTTTGGAGAGCAAAAGGGAACTTCCAAATCAACCATAGCAAACCTCTGTGGGTAAACAATATATTACAGTAAACATACATGCTATGGAAAAATTCCAGGGAAGATTGCTTCTTCCTTAAGGCATCACGAAACTGATGGGAGGTTTGATAATTTGACATGATTCAGCAGAATTTCTCTTTGTACCACTGTGCTTTCTTTTGAATATGAGAATGAATGCATTGGCATGCATGTCTGAGATAATTACTCTCATTTTTAAAGATATTGTCATAGTGTAGACCGCCTCATTATCAATCCATCGTGGGAACACTTTATGTTCCTTTTAAGATGCCAGTTTTCAGGTAATGTATTTCTTCTTTTAGAAAATGGGTAGCCTGTGTTCAGAGCTAAGGAGTGACAGGTTAATGGTTGAATATCTTCATGTTAGTTACCTGTCTGTCCAACATTTTGAAAGATGGCCAAACCCTCAAACCAGGCATTTACCCACAATTCCCCAAGCCTTCCCATCATTTATTAAGGAGAACAACTGATAACTACTTTTCCAACTGGGTGAATATGTAAGATGGGAAAGGAAGTGAAGACTGAAAAAAACTACCAATTACGCTTCTTAAATTGTTCCACAGGAAATCTATGCAGACAGGTTCACAGAGGATGGTGAAAATTTGGCTGTGGCAGCAATGCAAATTATGCTGGTATAGGTAGTTTTCACTTTGACTATTTGTTTAATAACTGTTCAGAGTTACACTGGTATTAAAAAAAGTGACCCATGATTGTCCCAAAGGGGCTTTTTTCAGGAGGCAATTGGACATTCTTGTTTTTCTTTGAAGAGGTTTTGCATCTAATCTAAGAAGCTTCTTCAGCTCTGACAAGATAGTGGGGAATGGAAGGATTTATATTCCTTACACCAGTGGTGGTTTCAAAATTTTGTAGAACCTCTTCTGTAGGTGTGGCCTGCTTTGCGGGAGTGACTTGCCAGTCATGTGACTGAGTGGGAGTGGCTTGGCAATCATTTGACTGGGTGGGCATGGCCAACTTGTAAAATGTGGTGAAGCTCACTTAACAACGTTCTTGCTTAGCAACCAAAATGTTGGCTCAGAAACTCTGGCATTTGAAGCATGTAAGTCTTAAAGCTGTCAAGTTACAAGACTCTTGCACCCCTAATCCTTTAGAGGAAAAAAGCCCAGGGGTGTTCAAAGCTGATAGCTTTAAGACTTGTGGACTTCAACTCCCAGAACTCCTCCTCCAGTCATGTTGGCTCAAGAACTCTGGCATTGAAATGTGCAAGTTTTAAAGCTGTCAAGTTACAAGACCCTTGCATCGCTAACCCTTAGAACTGGCAAGAACCCAACCCTGCCTTGCAGACAGCTGTCATTTGCATCCTGTCAGAGATGAAGAAGCTTCTTAGATGACCTGGATGACTGAGAATCTCTACAGACTTTTAACCCATGATTGGCTTTTGCATTTATGACCATCACAGCATCTTCATGGTCACATGATCAAAATTCAGGTACTTGGCAATCAGCAAATGGTTGCAACAATTATAGCATCCTATGTAGGAGCACGTGATTGCCATTTGTGACCTTTTGACAAGCAAAATCAATGGGGTAAGCCAGTTTGCTTAACAGCTGTATGAGTTCCTTAACAATCAAAAGGAAAATGGTCATAAAATCAGACACAAGTTACTTAACAACCACATCACTTTGCAAAGGAAGTTCAGGTCCCAAAGACTGCCTGTATACTTTTCTGCTAGTTTAAGGATGGGAGGAGGAGTGTACGTTAACATCACCATGAAGAAGAACATTTAAGCAAACAAACAAACTAAAAAAAAAGATTCGGCAGAGAATTCCAAACCACTGTTCTGCTCTGCAAAATAAAGTTCATAAATATGCAGAGAGCCCAATTGAGGTTATGAAATACCTTAGTTGGTTTCAAGTCAGTCACTTCTAGGCTGAATAATCACATGTTACCTAGATGTTAAAGAAATTTCATAGAACCTGATAGCTCTCATATTGATTAATATCTGAAAATATTTGGATATAACACTTGTTTTTGGGATGGGATAGAATTTGTAAATAAGCTGGTGTTCATAAACAACAAAGAACAACCATTTTCATTAGAACTACCATGGGGGGTAAGGAGTGACACATCTTGAAAAACTGGTTTTTAATTAAACCAGTAATTAGGTGTCTTAGAACAGAGTATAGTTTCAGTGTATGATGAATGAAAATAAACTAGGATGCAGAATCCCTATTATATAATTACTTGTCTTTGGGTGAGAAGTTACATGTAACTTAATGGATGTGGGGTGCTGAGACTGGAGTTAAGGAAATGATCATTTCAAAATGAGATGAAAAATAGAACATCACTTTGGAATTTTAAAAACATTGAAATAATATTTATTCATGTATTTATGTAATGATAAATCTAGTCCTCTAAGCTTTTTCAGAACGCACATTGGTTTCTAAATTTTCTATTTTCATTCTTGATATTTATATTCTGGTATAATGAAAAATATGTCAAGAGAGGAAAATTTGATTTAGGACAATATATCTAACCTGGATTTATTAATCTGGACTTCTTAAGTATACTAACCCAACTCAAATAGTTCTTTAGCCTTTTCTTTAAAAAGACTGAAAGATATGATAGGAAAATGTCTATGGAGATTCTCAATCATCCCAGCTTACTCAAGAGGCACACCTGCAGAATATCCAGCAACAAGCTTGCACTCAATCCGGATAAGACCGAGTGGCTGGCGTGTTCCCCTCCCACTAATTGGCCAAGTTTTCCATCTCTCAGGCTGGGGGGTCAAACAGTACGCCCCTCAGACAGGGTTCGCAATTTGGGAGTCCTCCTGGACCCACAGCTGACTTTTGAACACCACTTGTCGGCTGTGACCAGGGGGGCATTTGCTCAGGTTCGCCTGGTGCACCAGTTGCGTCTCTACCTGAACCAGGAGGCCCTCACAACAGTCACTCGTGCCCTTGTGACCTCAAGACTGGACTACTGCAACGTGCTCTACATGGGGCAGCCCTTGAAGAGCATTCGGAGACTTCAGCTTGTCCAGAATGCAGCCGCGCGAGCGATTGTGGGTGTACCTCGGTACATCCACGTTACACCTATCCCCCGCGAGCTGCACTGGCTGCCTATTGGTCTTTGGATATGCTTCAAGGCGCTAGTCATTACTTATAAAGCCCTTCATGGTATTGTACTGGGTACTTGAGAGACCGCCTGCTGCCAATTACCTCCAATAGACCGATTAGATCCCACAGATTAGGCCTCCTCCGAATTCTATCCACTGGCCAATGCCAACTGGCGACCACTCGGAGGGCCTTCTCTGTGGCTGCTCCGGCCCTCTGAAACGAGCTCCCCGTGGAGATTCGAACCCTCACCATCCTCCAGGCCTTCCGCAAAGCCCTTAAAACCCGGCTGTTCCGACAGGCCTGGGGCTAATGAGCTTTTGTCCCCCCTCGAATGGTATGGTTGTTGTGTGTTTTTAAATTGTGGTATTGTTTTGTCAGTCTTTTTTTTCTTTTCCTTATTTGTACTCCACCCCCCTTGACTTGGGTTGTGAGCCGCCCTGAGTCCCCTTCGGGGAAAAGGGCGGCATAGAAATATAATAAATTCAATTCAATTCAATTCAATTCAATTGTTCTATTATTTTTAAATTTAGCAAATTGTAGTGAGTCACCATCACTTGTACCCAGATGAACAAAATCTCCAATGTTATGTAGATCTTATGTAGATTTTATGTACATATTTATGTACAGATTTTATGTTCCTCAGCATCAAGACAAACTGGGCCTTTTAGGCTTCAATATTCCTTTGTGTAACTGGATTCTTGGTTTTCTTATTGAAAGATCCCAGTGTGTGTGAGTTGGGACTAATATTTTAACCATTTTCTTGAGCACAGATTCTCCTCCAGGTTGTGCCCTAAGTCTGCTGTTATTCACCCTGTTGACCATGATTGTTGTGCAACGTTTGTCACCAATCATATTGTGAAGTATGTGGATGATATAACAGTAGTGGGCCTTATTCAAGACGACAATGGGGTGCTTATCACAAGGAGGTAAAGGGTTTGGTGAACTGGCGTAATAAAAACAGACTTATTTTAAGTATTGGAAGAACTAAAGTGATCATTGTTGATTTCAGAAAAATCAGGCACAGCCACACATTTGAGTATTAATAATTCACCTATGGAGG